AAAACAAATTGGGTTAGAAAAGATATATATACAATGAATGATTAGAAAAGAACAATAGAAAGGGTAAGAAAAGAGATAACGGATAATAAAAAAATAATTTACTAATATAGTGATAGGTTTACAAAGAAAAATATATACGAAGATAATATAAGAGAATAGAGATAAAATGGACAAAAAAAAAAGTTATGAAGGTGTAAAATAATGTAAAAAAAAAAGTTCAAGAAAGAGAAATGAGGAAAGTTACATTTATTAAGTTTAAATTAAAATACTTAATAATAACACAAATGTAGTATAATACTAAAACAAATTAGAGAATTGAAGTTGTTTTAAAAAAAATATGTAGAGATATATGGTCTTAATATAAAAAAACTAAAAAAATATATAATATTTGAGGAGATAGGGATAGAATAATATCAAAAAATTTATTAATATAAACAAAAGAATAGATAGATTTGATTGATAAATTTTTACAATTTATTAATATAATAACAAATTATAAAAATTTATCTTTATTTTTTAAAATTAAATCTTCTTTTTTATATCTACCGTTTATAAATTTTTTAATGAATTAATACATTTGAAATTACTAATTATCAAAAAAATATTATGAAATATTTTTATAATTAATTATTATTATACAAATTTATAATTGATAAAAAAATTCTTAAAAAGTACAAATAAATTGCACAAAATATAACTTGAAATCTAATATTAATTATTTTATTAATCATTAACTATCTCTAATAATTAAATTAAATTAAAAACTTGACAGTGCAACTAACAAATTTAAGTGTAGCCATGTCCTATAGCCCCAATAAAGTTTTCATCAACAAATAAACGGAGTTATTGCGTGCGGAAATACAAGTTCCCATCTTTTTTTTTTCCCATAGGTAAAAACTTTTCTTAAACTCTCAAATTTATACTAAAATAATATATAAATTTTTAAATTAAAAATAAAATAGATAAATTCTTTAATTTCATTAAAATGCAAATAAATCATTTTCATTCATTGGTGTTTATGCTTTTAAAGTGATATTAAACATGAAATACCATTTGGTCCATTTGTGAGAAGGGTTTTTTGCATTGTCAGTGGAGTTGGAGAATTTATTTACTTTGTTTTTAGTTTAGAGACTTAAATATTATTTTTGGATAAGTTTAGGGACTTAAAAAGGGTTTTTACCTCTCATGGTCATGGGGATGGAGCTGCCCGGGAATCACGGTCAGTTATGGACCCACTTATCATTGCCCTTCCTCTCCCCACCCGAGATATCATGGGACCCATCTTCCCCCCATGTAGACAAGTTCATCACCGTTCAATCCCATCAACTGCCCCCCAGTTTATCATACCTCATCATATCTCTCCCCCATCATCAAATTTCCTTCTTATTCATGCCTTTTTTTCCTCCTTTTGGGGGTTTTGGCCTTACCTCTGCCTTTTAAAAATTCTTTATTTATTGGTTGACAAAGAGTCCCTAAAAAGTTTAGTGAAGTGAAATGAAGTTGATTTTTTGTGCATTGTATTTTTTATAATTATTTTTTAATATTTATTTTAAAAATATAGGTATATCCTAGTAATTATATTTTTTTATAATTAATTTATATAAAAAATATAAAACTTGATTTTGATTTATTGATTTAGCTAAATAAAAGTTTACATGTGGCTAAGTATTAAAACAACTTTTGTATTTTTTAATATATATGATGATATGTTTATTATATTTTTAATATGTATTTTTAATGTGTAGATTAAACAAATTCATTTTATAATGATTAGTAGAGAGATAGATTCCTTGATAATGGACTATATTTTAGTATTCTTTTCAAAGTTTTTGAGAATTTTTGGTTTAGTTGACTTTTTTTGTTATAATTTTTTTCCTTTAACAAATGGTTGAGATGGTTGGAAATATTAAGTTATAGATTAATTTCAAACAATATCAATTATTTTATCAAATATCAATTATTTCTAACAATTAAACTAAACATAGAATTAGAACTTTTTTACAAAATAAATAATGATTATTGTTGTCTTATACTCTTTTTTTTTTTTTTAACAGGAATGAAACTATTGTCTTTTACTCTTCTAAAAGTTAAAGGCAAAATTGTGTATTTACTCTTTTACTTTCTTTCAATAATTATTAAAATCAATCCTCTTATTTTTTCTTAAAATGAATATTCTCTTATACTTTCAGGTTAAATAAAATAATTCTCTTACATTTTAATTAAAATAAATAAATAAAAGTTTAACAAAAGATGTAATCATGTATCATTATTCTATCTTTCCCCTTCAGTACCCATTAGGTTTTTACTAATTTGACAAATTTAGAGGCACTTTTTAATGACATGACATTTTATTTTCTTGGTATCAAATTGGCTACCAAGAAAAAGATAATCAATTACATTTGGCTACTTATAAAGAAATGCTACATCAACAAAATAGGTCCAAGGTTGCCAATAAGCAAAAACTTAACCAGTATTAAATGGAGAAGAAGACAGAATGATGACATATAATTACTTTATTTGTTAAATTTTGATTAATTTATTTTGAACAAAATATAAAAGAGCTAATTTTATTTAAGCTAAAAGGTATGAGAGAAGATTTATTTTGAAAAAATATACAAAGATTTATTTCAATAATCACTAAAATCTAAAAGTAGAAAGGTAAAAAGCATCCTTTTTGCCAAAAAGAAAATAGTGGAATAAAAAAAAAAACTCATAGGAAATTAAATTTATCCCATAATAAAGAAAAATAAGTTATTAACTAGAGTATAATTTAATTGATATTATTAATTTAAAAATCTTAATTTAAAATCAAAGAAATACACTTAGAATTCAAACATTTATAATATCAGTCTAATTAATATTGTATTATATTATCTATCATATAGTACATTATTATATGTATAAAAAAATCTATAATATTAAACAATTAAGTCTTATACAAAATCTTGACCTTATTTTTTTATTATAAATTATTGAGATTTATTTATTTTTCTCTCATATTTTTTAAAAGTTAATTGTCATTTTACATTAAAAAGTCACGACTTAATTGAATGATTATAATTTTATGTAAAATTTGTATATATATATATAAACTATCTTTTAAAAAAAGCCACATTTACAAATCTTGATATAAATGTCTTGTATATATTATGAGACATTGATTTTATAATCCAGTTGCTTGGATGTCATCTTAAATAAAATCATCTCAATAATTGAGTTCTAAAATTAACAGCTAATAATTCATATAAAAATTATGCATTTGCAAGTGAATGTTATCTTTTTAAAAAGGATAAATAAGTTTTATCATAATACTTTTTAACTAATGACCTATTGATTTGAGTAGAAAGAGTTCAATTTTCCTTAAATAAGGTTTTAAGTTCGTAAATTGAGAATATAGAAACATATACTTGGAGAGTAGGTTCATACCAAAAATAATACTTCTTAATTAAAAAAGGGTGACCCCTATTAATTTGATGGCCGGTGCTGCAAAAAAGGGACTGAAAATTAGTTAGGTTTTATTTTAGGTTGGAACTACACCTCACAAAACTTTAAAAGTAATTTTATGTTTACAATCGAATTAAAAAGTAAAGTTATCTTGATTAAATACACTATACTAATTACTCAAAATTATAGGATGATTAATCACAGGTAGAATTTAACATATATAATATTTAAATTTATGAACTTGATTTAATGATATGATAAGGTACACGTGTATTCTGATTAATGATTATTAGGTACAACCTACACCTCACAAACTTTAAATGGAATTCTAAGTTTAAAATCAAATAAAAAAGTGAAGTTATCGTCAACGACTTAAATAGTTTATTGATAATTTATTTTCGTTAAAAGTAAGAGGTTTTAAATTTAAATTGCATGACATGCAGGTGAGACAAGATAAGAGATAAAAAAGAGTTATTTTTTATTGTGCAATCAACATAAAAAAAAAAATGAAATTATCTTATACTTAGTTTCTTCATGATTGGAAAACTATATATTTCATCCTAAAATGTATTCTTCAAATTTGCAATTGGGGGTTCAAATAACTCCTTTTTAAAATTATAATACGTTCAAAAAAAAAAAAAATAGAGTTATCTTTTATTAAATATACTCAACTAATTTACTCAAAATTATGGGATGACCTAAGAATACTTGCCCTACAAGTAGAAATTTTCTTCTATGACAATAATGATCGGGTAGAATTTAACACATATATATTTAAAATTATAAATTGACCTAAGGATGTGGTGTAAGATACACGTAGATTTTGATTCAGAATTATATTTAAATACAACATCATGCAAGATGGATTGATTAATTCATGTGATAAAATTCTCATTTTATATAAATTGGGGAAATGGAAAAACAAATACAATAGAAATCAATCACGCAATTCATATGAGGTAAATAATTTTAATAAAAAATTTAATATCATTAGATTAAAATGGGTTGTTCTATTTAGTTTTATAATTTAGTAATTTAATCAACATAAAAAAATCATTTTATTAATTAATGATTTATTTGTTTCGTTGACGAGGAAGACATGGTTAAGTCCCAAGTTGGGGTTAATATTTTTCAACCTTAAAAAATATTACCGAAGGAAAGAACTTTGTACATGCATGAATACCTACATACAATCATTAATATGTGTAGGTATGGATTGGAGGTAGTATTTTAAAATAAAGTTCACCATCGTATCAATAATAAAAAAAAAAAAAATCCGATCATAAATTTTTACTGCAATTATTAATCTGGTCTTGTAATGATTATTGTTGTTATTCCACTTCTCGTTTTCTTCCATTTTTTTAATGAGTGTTCTATGTTCCCATATTCATCCACAGATTCTTCCCTGAGAGGCCACAAAATCTTTGAAGATCCAACAATGCCAACTCTCCCTATAAATTTAGGGTTTTCCTCTCTGTGAATCTTACTCTTGCACCCATCAATTTTCCCTTCAAAACCCACCATCTATTACTCTATTTCTGTACCAAGATTCAATCTTTAGGGCTTTTTGAATCCGTTCAGGGTGAAAGATCCTTGCTTTTGGGAATATATCACAACTTGAATTCTGGGTCTTTTCTGAAAATTTTGCTGGGATTCTGGGGGCTTCAGGTGGCTGGCTGTGTGATTTGCTGACTTTGTGTTTAATTGATGTGTGCTTGATGTTTTGTCTGTCAGCTGGCATCTGTGGGAGTTTCGTGTGGAGGATTGTTGAAGCATGGTGTTGAAATATTGGTGGCCTTAGCTTGAAGATTGTGATTGGAGGTTTAGGGTTCAAAGTTAATAAATTAGTGTCTCTATGACGTGGTTTTGATTTGGTGACATCTGCATGTGTAGGCATTAAGGGGTCCTCTGCTCTCTGTGGAGGATCCCTATTGAAATTCAATTTTGTGAGTATTGTGTTGTTCATCTTGAGAAGTTTGTGAATCTAAGGACTGCTTAATTGTTTGAATTTGGCATTTCTGAGGCGTGGAATCAAGTTGGCAGCTCTGCAAGTTTCATTTATTGAATTGGTAATTTGTTGTTGTGTGTTGTCTGTTTATATTCTGGGAAAATGTTTGGTTCCGGTTCAGAATCTGGGAATGAAAATAGCGGAAATTCGGGGCAGCGCGTAGTTACAATGCGTTTTGTTTGGCCTTATGGAGGAAGGAGGGTGTATCTAAGTGGTTCCTTTACCAGGTGAGAAGATGTATGCTTAATTTATCTATTTATTTATTTTTTTGTTGCACTGACAAGATTCATAAAACAGAGACAAATAGGGCGAAGGTATTTGGAAATTTTAGTAAATCTGTAGTCTTCTATTGTTTTTAATTAAATTCATGTATTGCTTTTATTATTTCGATCTTTTTCTTATTTGGGTGGATATGTTATTAACAGGTGGACGGAGCATATACCTATGTCTCCCATGGAAGGTTGCCCCACTGTGTTTCAAGTTATATGCAGCTTGTCTCCAGGATATCATCAGGTTAATCAGCTTTATAATTGATATATGTTAATCAGCTCTAATTCTAATCTAATGGGTTCATTTATTGTATTTTGCAGTATAAGTTTTATGTCGATGGGGAGTGGCGGTATGATGAACACCAGCCATGTGTAAGAGGGAATTATGATGTAGTTAATTCTGTATTAATAACTAGGGAACCATCCAGCATGGACATAGATGATGGTTTTAATCATCCTGTAAGCCAAACCTTCCCTTCATCTAACTTTTAGTATTTAAGTCCTGATTATAATCCTATTACATATAAGTGATTAAGTTACTAGCTGGTTCTCAGCAGGAAATGGTTACACCAGCAAGTATTTCTGTGGCTGATATAGATGTCTCTCGTCATCGCATATCTACATTCTTGTCTACACATACTGCATATGAATTGCTTCCGGAGTCAGGCAAGGTTTGATTTCTTCACCCATGTCTGGAGCTTACTAGGTATAATTTATTGTGTTCTAATTTTTTGAACATTGCAGGTCATTGCCTTAGATGTTAATTTACCTGTGAAGCAGGCATTTCACATTCTCCATGAACAGGTGAATCTCTTTCACCCCCTCAAAAACACGCAGAAAAACACACAGAAAAACACACAGAAAAACACACATGGGCATGAGAACAGGCACTCAGCTGCATACGTTCACTGTGAATGGTCTAGATGGAGGAACCATGAGTGTGTTGTATTACGTATTTGACTATAATCCAGAAGAGAAAGATGAACTAGTTGTAAGTGATGGGGGCTCCACGTGTAAATAGATACTATTAGTGTCCTTATAGTGCAATTGTATTATGTATTTGGGCTACACAGACTCACATATGTTTATACCTTGTTTTTACACATGCAGCTATACAGCTGCTTACATAATACACGTCTGTGAAGCCTACATAACACAATCATATAAGGACACTAATAGTATCTATTTACATTTGGAATCCCTATTACTAAGACTAAATTCCAGGGATTTTTTTTTTTTTAATACTAATGCAATGCATATTAGTATTAACGAGGACTAGCTTGTTGAAATTCTTAGTGCATTTGCTGAATATGTTTAAACCTGGTTTTTTTCACTCATGTGGAGTCCCTATTTTATGCTTTTTTCAGGGAATCCCTGTTGCTCCACTCTGGGACTTTTGCAAGGGCCAGTTTGTTGGAATTCTTAGCGCATTGGACTTTATCCTTATTCTAAGAGAGGTGTGTGGAAGAAACTATCTTGGTGTTTCTTCAAAATGTCAATCTGTTTTGGCATATATTTTGAGGACAATTATAGGCTTTTTTTTTCACTGATTGAAGTTAGCAACTTTATTATGGTTATCATTGTTCTGGAGACCAGAGATTAATGCACTTAGAGTCCTGAATTAACATTCATCAATTAGACAGGAGTTACTTTCAATGGAGTACCATCTACTGCATTTGCAGCCGATCATGCTTTAATTTCTGTTATCCTGCCTGCTTTGAAGTTGTCAGTGCCAACCAATAAAGTAATCTGCCTCTCAGTCATTCAATCTTTAGTAACATGTTCATGCACAGTTTGCAAGATTTTCAGTTAATATGGCAATACATCAACTTTTCATTTCTTAAGAATGAAATAGCAATAGAACATTTGCATTGCCATGTCTCTTCTCTCACAATTCACTAACAATGCAATTTAAAGTCTTTTTCAGTGACTTGCTTGTAGTTATTTCCTTGTCGTCAAGATTATTATCTAGTCAATTTAACATGTATAACCTTTTGAAAAGCAGCTGGGGAATCATGGTTCAAATTTGACAGAGGAAGAGTTGGAGACTCACACAATATCTGCTTGGAAGGAGGGAAAGATGCACCTCAGTAGACAAATGGATGGCAATGCAAGATCATATCCTAGACATCTTATTCATGTAAGTGCCTCTGCTGGCAGGATTTTATGTAATCAGTAAGTTGATCTCAAAAGAAAAAAAAAAAAAAAAGAGTAAAAGCAAGGAAAAAGAAAAACATCTCATTCCTTCCATATATACAATTTACACCCTCTTTATTATTTGGATGTTTTAGGATGATGGTATATTACCTAACATGTAATGTTATCCTATTTTGGTAGTCATCTACCTTCTACCACGTAGTTTGCTTGTATATTAATTGTATTGTGGCACATGAGGTTCTTGCATCCAGTTGTTTGTTACATATGGGAAAAGAAAAATCAATGGTTAAGATTATAGAGAAAAAATTTCATTCCAATAATTTGGTTTGAAGTATCGCATTTAAATAGTGGTGGATCCTTGGCAGTCCAAGTATCAATAGATTGGTAAGATTCTCTCTTTGCCTGAATGGTAGCACCTTCTGGTATGATAGCAGTTGAGCGATTAAGGCAGTTCAAGTTCACACGGGTCTTTGTAAAGGGTAATGGGGAGTGCAGATTGAAGTCAGTTTCTAATTGAATTTCAACCAAAGGCGAAAAAGGGACTCAAAAGATTTTTCATCCATTTTGTAGCCCATATTGCATGTATAGCTTCAACTATTTTCCCTCTCTTTAACTCTCTGCAGTGAAAATTGTGTTGGATATGTAAGAGATAAATGTATGTTGTGGGCAGGTTTAGTAAGACTTGGTCAAAATTCTTCCCTGCCCATACCTGAATCAAGGCTCTGTGAACATGAAATCTTTTCAACATTCAACAATATGGTGTCTGATTTACAAGCCATCCTCTTGGTGATTGGATACTTATACCCAGATATTAGTATTACCTTCCTAGATCCTTATGGATGTTCTTGTTTAATTATCCCAAAAGATACTCTGATGACAAATTGGAAACATTTGTTGAAAATGAATCCAATAAGCCACTGGATTTTTGATCTTGTAGGTTAATTTTTGGAGAAGGTTGTTATTGCATAGGGAGTTTCTTTCATTAGTATTTCTATATTTTAGGTTTCTAGTGAACTTCTTGTTTCATGTCTTGCAAAGTTGGCTATTTTCAGTATGGGGAGCTATTATTTGATTTTTAGCTGTGTTTTCCCCTTTATTTAGTTATTTTTTCCTTTTATGTATGTTTTACCATATTGAAATAATAGTTAGGTACACATTTTCTTCACTTCTTATTTGGTGTAGGTAATTGATTATGCTTACATAGAATAAAAGAACCTATAAAAATTCTGGAATGGAAATAATGGTCATTTAATACTTCCAAGGTCACCTAATTCTGATAGTTTCTCACATACCAAGAGACAAAAAAAAAAAAGATACTTTCTCCATATATGAATAAACAGTATTCTGAGTATTTCATCTTTAATTCTACATTTTTGTAATATGTTCCACATTTCTCATGATTAAATAATGATTTGACCATTTTTTTGTTTCTCCAAGGTAATGTCCATTGCTGGTAACATATTTCTGTGGCAAATGCTTCATAGGAATTGGACTTCATTGAAGTCAGAACTTCCTTTTTACATTTGCTATCTGTTCCATCTATTCTTCAAAATTCTGTGTGTAATGTGCAGGCGGGGCCTTATGATAGTTTGAAAGACGTTGCTATAAAAATTTTGCAAAGCAAGGTGGCCACAGTTCCCATTATCCATTCTTCTTCACAGGATGGTTCATTTCCGCAGATACTTCATCTAGCTACATTATCTGGAATACTAAAATGTAAGCATTTTTCTGTTTTCTTTTTTTTTTTTTTTTTGGGAAGAGAACACAGGATACAACTCCCTTTGAATAGACTCTAATAAAAACATATTGGGAAGAATATTACAACGAAGT